CGCATGCCCGCAGAGGGTGTTGAAGACGCCGAATCCTTTAACCTTTATCCTTCAATTGGTTATCTATGATGTTTCAGCAAAAGAAGAGCGAGTTATGGAAAAAGAGCGACGGTTGATCCACAGAGAGGTTGAATTGTCAGGAGATTTGCAGCCTGAAACACAAGAGGATTTCGCTCGCTTGTTAAGAAAGGATCCAAACTCTGCGGAGCTATGGATTAGGTTCGTTAATTATATGAACGTTTCTTTCAAAGACTTCTTCGTGCTGTGAATTCGGCTAATATGTGCCCAGAAGTGGAAGAGATAAAGGTTACATGTCGTTACTAAACTTATCAATATTTTTTCATCTTCGTATCATTACTATGATACTTCTTTCAATGTTCAAATCATTCTTTGAATTTTTAAATGATCACATCAGAGCAATCACTCTCACTTTACCTTACCATGACAAACTTTTTATTTAGGTACATCTCCTTCTTCCTTGAGAAAAATGATCTCACCAAGGCACGAGCAACAGCAGAGCGAGCACTAACCGTCATAAATTATAGGTGTGCGATTTTTTTCGCTTTTTTCAGCAGAACTTTTATAATGTTGTTTCAAGAGAAGAAGAAGAAATCTTCAACCTCTGGATTGCTTACCTCAACATGGAAGTGGCTTACGGCGATGAAGACACTACTAAGAGTGTATTCCAACGAGCTTGTGGCAATGCAGACTCGCTCAAAGTGCACAAACAGATGGCTGCAATCTACGCGGAAGCCGGGAAGACTGACGTGAGGCTACTTTCACTTACTTGCGTCGACATACCGTATCATTCTAGGAAGCCGACGAAATTTATGAAGCAATGATAAAGAAGTTCCGAGCAGATTCCGATGATGTATGGACTCTGTATGGCGACCATCTCATCTCCACGGATAGGGCAGAGAAAGCACGCGATCTCATGAAAAGAGCACTCACCAGTGTTCCTAAACAACGACGTTTGTTTTAGAATCGCTTTGTTGTGATAGTGTATTGAATATAAACTTTAGATGTTCCTCTTATTAGCCGATTTGCTCAAATGGAGTTCCGGAAAGGAGATTATGAAAGGGGGCGAACTCTCTTCGAAAACTTGGTAAGCTTTGCGTCTTCATGACACTGCTAACTTGCTCAGTTTGACAGTCTATTTATTCTTTAGGTCACTGCATACCCAAAGAAGACCGACATTTGGATAGTTTACGCAGACCTGTGCTTGAAGCACTTAGGAATCGAAACAGCTAGGTAAATCTTGTCCATTTTAGCTATTTCCCGAGTTTTGATCGCTGCAAATTATCTCACAACCAAAAGGTGACCGCAGTATCCTGCGTAGTGAATTTCATCTACATTAGTTGAAAGCAACTCCATATTTCAAAGCACAGAATTTTTGATTTGTAGACAAGTTCTGGAGCGAGCTTGTGCACTTCCACTAAGTGTGCATAAAATACGACCTCTCTTTCGTAAATGGATGGAGGCGGAGCGGAAATACGGCGACGATGAATCGCGGCTGCTGGTCTGTTCTTTCTTCGCACCTTTTTGCTTGAGCACACTGAGATTTTTACAGCTTCGGGAGAAAGCCGAAAAGTTCCTTGAATCAAGTATTCTTGACATGGAGGAGTTGGAAAAAGATTGACTTGTTCATATTGTACCTATAAAAGAAATAGATGTTGTTGTTGATGTACGAATTTGTTGTTGTTACACTTGTTGTCTATTGTTGTACCTTTTTGTTGGCTTGTTAGAGTACTGTTATTGATGTTAATTTCTATAAATGCTTCAAACATGCAGGGTAAAGTGAGCTCAAGGTACATACCTTGCATATTTGTTCCATCTCATGACTCACGACTCGTTCACGTGTGCTCCACGAATCTCGTTTTCTCCTTCGTTCTTTTTTGTGTGAGAAAAGTGGTGGGAAAATACATGCTACACTCTAGTGAATATGAAGTTGAATATGGCAAGAGTGTCCACCCTTGCCTGCAAGACTAAAGGGATTTGATTGTCGAAAATAAAAATCAACAGTTTCGCAGTCTTAGTCAAGAGGGTTAAATAAATATCAAAACTCTTGACCACTTTATTGCCACTTCTCCTCTTACCTGGAAAGCGCAAAAATTGTTTTGAACGCATGCAAAATCGCACCCTCCTTGATCACTTTTTGAAGAATCTCGCGTACATCACGCTCCGGTTTTTCCTGTTTTTTTTTTCTTTTGGTCATAAGGTAGGCACCTC